CAAACAGATTAGGTAATTATAAGTATGTGCTGCCGATAAATGATAAAGATGTAGTGTGCAAAACCTGTTTTCTTAATACGTCTGGGATCAGTAAAATCAAGTAAAAGGTATGTATACCGCATGGAAAAAAGTTGATGAATCTGGCATTATTTGTGATGATGAACGTGGAAAGCATAACAGCCAGTGGCGGCTCGTGGCTTGAGAGACAAGGTCGGCAAGGTATTTTTTGTCTCCTCAGATAGGTCAGTTTAACTGATTTTGAACAACATTGAATATCAAATCGGTTTGGGTAAACACTTTCTTAAAAATATTTAAAAGTATGTTAAAAGAGTAATTATTTATTAAAGTTTTCAAACCGATTGCTTCACGGATCGAGATATCATCACTTTCAAAATCGTCACATTCAATAATAAAATCAAAAACTTCCAAAAGCTGTTCACGAAAATCTGCTACAGTGAAAACTAACCGCGATTTAAAATTCCATCGCGTCTGACAAACTGTTGGGATTTTTTTCGAAACAAACCGTTCTAAAACATTAGTCCGTAAAACATCACGGCAGCGCCGTCATAAGTTTGCCCTACTAATTTATTTTTGATATAAAAAAATTTTAATCTTTCCTTTAAAACACAAAAATATGTTCTGCCTTATGGCTTTTAGTCACGTCTGTAAAACCTAAAAACCTCTCATAGATATTTACCACGTAACGCGTATCGAACAACAATTGATAATTGTGAATGACATGATATGTTGGTAGTTTCATCTACTTTTAGTGAAAAGCAAATGGTTTCCTGAATCTCAGATCCAATAACGTTACTCAAAATGTAACTAATTGATTCTATTAATTAATTCTGGATTGTTTTAGATACACCGCTAAATGTCTTCGAATCAGAAAGTAAATTAGAAAATTCAAATCGTATTTCTTAAACATTTTTATTAGTTCTCTATAATTATCTTGATTTAACGAATGCTCCGATTCATCGTGTCCCCTAAAAGATAATTCCTGACAACTTAAAAAATTACAATATAAATTAAACGACGTAAAAACTGCGTGATTATTTTTTACAATTTCGTTATGTTTAATAGCATTTTCACGTTGGGCATTATCAAATGAAACATAGATATTTTGTTTTCCAAATAAATCTAATTTAATCTGGCTGTAAGTATGATCTTTCGAAATATCATGTTTATGTAAAGCCCTAAATAATTCCTTTAAATTATCGTAACCAGATTCACACCACGGATTTTGATGTTTGCCCCTATTTGTCGAAATAAAATGCAATGCAATATTTATAAGCAGGGACATTTAAGGTAAAGGACGCCCCTTATTTTTTAATAACAATTTGTTCTTCGTATGGAATAGATGAAACCCATTATGCAAAATATAATTTACAATATCAGACTTATCAATACTTACAGTTTCTCCCATGGCTTGCATTTTTTTAGGTTAATTTACCTGAATTTGTTTACACTTTAATTAAAAAAACTCTAATATGTCAAAAAACCCTTTAACCTTTAACTATTTACGACAGACGTAACGTATCAAAGTATTACTTTAGAAAATAAAAATAAATCAAAAAAAGAAAGACTAGTTCGTGCACTGAATATCACTTCACAGGAACGTAGATTCCTTGTGGAATTCACTTTACTACATATATGAAATAACATTTCGTCCCACGCTCGCAATGTACAGTTCGCGACCAATCAGCAATCCAAATGAAACATCGGCAAATTTAAATTCGCCGTACTTGGTAATTAAGTTCATATGGAAAGAAATGTATATTTGGTTGCTAATCAACAATATTCCGTTGATTTTTACAAGTAAGGTCAAGGTTGGGATCGGCTAGCCGAAAAAACAAAACGTGCCTTTTTAAGAATTCATAGGCGGTATGAATGTCTCCGATATCGAATAATCTATTTGAAAGTGTCAACGCAGGGATCACTTAACGGTTAGATTGGACGAATTCTTTTAAAAAAACATGAATAAAATTTAGTCTGGTCGAATTCTTTTAAAAACCATGAATAAAATTTAGTCTTTATTATTTCACAGATAGTTTTTTAGTTCACAAAAACAAATGACATCAACTGATTACCTGCCACAATTATTTATTGAAATATTGATTAAATTAAATATAAAAAAGTCTATAATATCAGATGTGCGTCGGCACTGCCGACCCTGACCGGCCGCCACTGATAACAGCCATGGTAATTTACATCAGATGCTGTAGAGTATGCCAGATAGCATATTGATTCCTTTCCAGTAGTGGAGTCTCACTATCTTCGGGCTCAAACGTGAAGGAAATACATCGATGGACAGTTGTCACCGCGGGGTAATTAATAAGGGTCTAAGCACCTTCTGTACCACCGTGTGCTCTGTAGAGGGCTTCGAAAACATCAACGATAGCTCCTCTACTTAAGTCCATTTTCAAGGTATGGACTCGAAAATGTTTTCTTCTGGTATCTTGCCTTGAAAAAGGCAAGATATTTCTTACATGACAAAGGTTAAGTCGAAATAAAAATACCAGGTTGCAGTAGAATAACATCTCAGCCACAGAGTATGGGAAAATCTAAAAACAAGAAAGCAGAGCCCCGAGAGCACTAAGCTCTCGGAGAGACCGTGAAGGACTGAACTGATTGACCTGAAAATCGCCTATTTTTATACTTTCTGAAGTAGCGATTAGGGATTTCCAGGTCAGGGAGGGCCAACGAGGAAAATAAGGGGCGGGGCGATGCGTCTCGAACGTGAACTAGTCGCGTCTGAGAACATCCCCCCTCCTCTGGAGACTCTGTGGCCGGGAAAAAATTTATTAAATATCAAAATTACAATACATGTGAAGTAACACAAGAATAAGTAAAATACATAAGATGCACGAAATATAGAAGAAAAAATACCATGAAAATGTAAGTAAAAGTAAAAAAAAATTGTCTTTGAGCAAACTCACTACACAGCACTGATAGGGAGGTCGGTGGTGTTGACGGCATCTCCGGCTCCTACAGGTCCATCCTCGATCGGTGTGCCAACTCCTTCGACGGGTTCGTCTTCTTCTTGGTCGTCCGGGTCCCATCCGCCATATCCAGGGGTTTCGTAGAGTTCCAGGGTGCCGAAAGCCTACGTGGTCGTCCAACCACTTTCGGTAGGGGGGCGATGACTGGGTCTACTTCTGGACTTCCATTGGCATCAGGGGCTTCGGACTCAGAAGTTTAGCTCGTCAAAGGTGCCTGCACGTCGAAGGCATCCAGTCTGCAGAAAGCCTCGATGTCTGAGTGTTAGAGTATAGCTTTCTAACACTCCGTGGTTCTCCCCGTTCTTCTCTTGACTTCAACCCATGTTGAAGTCAATAGTTGTAGCCTTCTGCTGTGAGTCGAGCTGGGTCGTGGGTGCGGATTTTAACCACGTTGTCGGGCGCCATGTCACCTCAGGGTAAATAATAAGGGTCTAAGCACCTTCTGTACCACCGTGTGCTCTGTAGAGTATCAAAGTCATTGAGGAAACATAAAATTATCAAGAGAAGAAAGATCCGAGGATGTAAAGCGCGCCAAACTGGCAGAAGAAATCAAGGTATGTGAATATGATTTACAGGCTATAAGGTAATTCCATTACAATCAGGTGATGTGTCCAGCTTTTTCTACAAACGCCATTTATATACTTACAACTTATGGGATGAGAATCGTGGAAAAAAAAGGAGCGATAGAGATAGCTAGTTGAGTTTATAGTTATATCCAGGAATATGTTGATAAAATAAATTTCTTACCACAATGAACAATTATGTTCTACAAAACAGTAAATCTGTGGATCTAACTGACAAATATCTGACAGTTGGTTAGACACAAAATTCAGGTGATTCCATGCCTTCCTGCATTGAACGTCAGTGTAAGAGAAGTCTCAAGAGTTCAGCTATTTACACACCTTCACAATTTGCTGCTACAGTCAGTGGAGCCAAAAAAACTGGAGATCCTTATGTTGTGAAAGAATTACACTTCACTGATTTATATAATTTTTAAAAATTATCTGGAGAATTTAACTTTTCTCTTAACACAGAGAAGGACAAGGTAGAGTGGTTAAAAATAAATGTGCTAATGATGGAAAGAAGCCAACCAAATGTAATATTTTACAAAACATCTACGAAACAGAAGGAATTTTTTAAAATACAGATGAAGACAGCTACTATCCGAGGAAGAAGTGAAAGAGAGTGAGTTATTCAACATTAGATCCAATGTACGCAACCCCACCTGGAATAGCGATTTAAAAAAATGATTTAATGTGGTTGCTTAAACAAAATCATATACCTAAGTCTCATGCACACTTCTATGAATCATTGGTAAGCAATCATAAGCAAAATAATTTTGTTATTGATCTACAAGAAGAAGAAGAGGAAGTTCAATGCAGTATAAACATTATTTGATTCATTTACAAATTATCATATTTTTGTTCAATTTTTGATAATTATTAAACAATTTTATACTGTGGTGCATTCATTTTCTAATGTTAAACTGTTGTATGTTCCATCCCAGAATTTTATTTAATTATTTACAGCTGAAGAAGTGATTTACTTAAAAGAATTGTTTTTGAGGTACACAATTGTCAAAATAAGTATTTGAAAAATGTATGGTAACCTTATACACAATATTAAAATTACTGGAACCGCGGCAATCTTTAAAATTCGATTACAAAACTTGGTTTTGGAAGATACTACACTTGTCATATCAGGGTGCGACATGACAAGAGAATTTAAAATATAATTAAAATATAATTCTTTCTATATTTGGCATTGGAAGCTTAGAAACCAGGTTTCCACGCAATACAACATGAGCATACTGTTGTTTATTTATGTGTATAGTGATATTAACTATCAACCAAGTGATATACATTGTAAATTAAAAATATAGTAAATTCCACGTATGGTGGCTTTAGCTAGACTAAGACATAACTGAAAAATTGAAAGAAAAATAAGATTCTTAAGTTTTATAATAAATAAATACTATTAGTTAAAGTACATACATACTTCAGTAAGCAATCCTCTTCTAAGGTTAAAACTTGTAGTTTAGAGAAATTTTCCAAATCCCATGTTATAGCTTCATACTTCGAAGCAGATAATAATTTTTCTTTTGAAAAAGAAACTCTGAAAACACTGTAGTGATGACCCAGAAGTTTTTCAACTATATATCCAGAATTACTGTTACAAATCAGTATGTCACCTCCTTCTATTCCAATAAACAGTTGGTCATGGTTTAGTGGTGAAAATTCTATAAGTGTTGATGAAGAAAACTTTGGTAGTCCCCAAACTTTTCCAATGGAGTAGTCAATAAGAAATACATTTCCTTGGTTGTCTGCTAATGCTGTAATATTGCTTGTATGGTGTGAGCAGCAATATATAAATCTAAGCTTTGCATTGATCAAGGTGTGATGTACCTTAAGAACTAAGCTAAAAAAGATATAGTTGTACACACATAAATCTTCAGGATGGTTCTATCTAGTAAAAATTATAGATTCTGTATATACAACTGTGTAGTATTTGGGACGGTGTTTTGCAACAACCATATAACCCACATTTGTTTATAAATGAGGTTAGATGAGTCAAACTGTCCATCATAATGCACATATCACATAATATTATAAGCTATATCCATACTCATGGAGGCGTTTGTAAACTAAGTTCTAACCCACATTCATCAAATAATATAAAAACAGAAATTTGTAAAAATAGTCTAATATGTGGTTTAGACGCTTGTTGCAAATCTCTGTAAGTGTCTTTTCATTGTGTGCACAAGATGCAAAATATTAAGTGAATAGGTAAAATACGAAAGTATATTATTTAAAAGTGTGAATTTTCTGTTGTCAGCTCAGTAATTGATTAAAGAAATTTTTAAATTCCTTTTATCATAGATAGTGTACCAAAAAGATAACATAATATGTTTTGCGATTACTCATATGTTGATGTCATAAATGTCGACAAAATATTGCATTATCAAATAACGAAACCTATTATTCACTAAAATATTTGGAACTGTTGCTTGATAGTCAAAATACTGGTCAGCAAAATATTGTATGTCTTTTTAACAAAGGAGTTTGATATTTCAACATATTGTTTTAAACTTTAAACGAGTGCGGTAGGTTGATATTATTTAGGCTGTTAGTGTAATATTTTAAAGCGAAACATCACAAAATTGATGTTCTTACTTCAGTGACTATAATTTTTATTATTCAAGGTACATATAAACTTATTTTGACTTAAAATTTCACAATATGTAGATATAAATTTTTATTTATTAAAACTTTTATTTAATATTAACAGCAAATGGCAGTTAAACTAATTTGGAACTATGATAGCTGCCCATATATTAATACTTGTACAAATAGAAATATATCAAGTTTAAAATTAGCTATGTTAGTGGGATAGTGGGGTTAGATATTTTTTGCTAACTGCACTATAACACAAAATTTATTTTTTATAGCAGTTGTAAAAAATGTTTTGTAAATGTAACATTTTTACTTCGTAATAATATGTAAAAAGTGGATGTTTTAAGTGAGTACCTAATGCTCTTATTTATTTTAGAGGATGAATATTTCAAGAGGAAAGCTATAAGCGAACCTGAGCATTCAAAAATTTCAACAAACTTTGACCACTGATCCTCGAGAACCAGAAACAAGTAGTTCCTGTAGGACTAAGAAAATATATCTGTGAAATGGATTTTGATGAGCCACACCAGTCCTCTGGCAGTGAATATTTTCATGAATCCGAGGAAACTGATTCTGCAGAAGAAACGAGAGGCCAAGAGGATATGGAAATCTATTTAAATATAACAAAAAATGACGGCAGAAAGAAAAGCGGACAATCAAGAAAAACACTAAATCAATCAAGACCAATGACGGCAGAAAGAAAAGCGGAAAATCAAGAAAAACACTAAATCAATCAAGACCAGACAGAAAAAAGTTTGCAAATTGTAACCAAAAATATGTTCCAGCAAGAAACAAACCTGTATTACCTAAAAAGTTTAATGAAGATTACTCTTGTCCATGTTCAAGAAAATGTCACAATATTGCAAATGTTGAAACAAAAAATTTTTTCAACCAATTTTGGAGTATAGGGACATTTAAAGGGCGCTGTGCTTTACTTAGCAAATATGTTGAAGAGGGCAACAAGATGTTATACAAAAAACTAAACATCAAGAAGAAGTAAGGCAAGAAAATACTTTATAGAAAGCAATCTCGTTAACAAAGAAACCTTTTTAAATACACTTCAGATCAACCATAATAGAATCTGTGTAGCCTTAGATCAAATAAAAAGAAATATTATTAAAGATAAAAGAGGTATACATAGTGGTGGAAAAAATGCAATTGATGAAGAAAGAATTAAAAGTATTAAGATGCACATGGCGTCATTTCCCAACATATGTGTCACATTAATGTCACAATCAAACAGACTCCAAATTTTTAAATCCTGACCTGAATTTATCAAAAATGTATAAATTCTACACATATACTACAGAAAAACCAGTGAGTCTTACGAAGTATAAAAGTGCCTTTATTCAAATTTTAATTTAAAATTTAAGACACCACATAAGGATACATGTCGAATGTGTGATACATACAAAGCCCAAATTAGCTCTGCACAGGCTACACAGAAGGAGAATCTAGAAAAAAATCACAGGGAATATCTTGAAATTGCAAATGAGTTAAGGAGTGAAAAGAATGCTGATCTAATATGCACGCAAGAGGATGAAACACTGGAGACCCTGACTTTTGATGTCCAAAAAACTCATTCTTTACCAAAAATACTGACTGGAGTCACATAATTATCACAAAAGACAATAAAATTTACTTAATTTAGGTATTTATGTCGGCAGTACAAAAAGAGGTATTTTCAATGTATGGGCAGAGCAAGAGGTAGGCAGGGGAACACAAGAAGTTGCTTCATGTCTGCGTAAATATATTAATGAAAACATAAAGGCACCTGTAAAGAAATTAATTCAAAGTGTGATTATCATGGGATGGGGGTAGAATAGAAGTATTAAGCTAGTCTTAATGCTTATTCACATCTTCAAAACCATATGTCCCTTGAATCCATTTAGTTAAAATTTATATTTTCTGGGCACAGTTTCCTGCCTTCTGATTCACATTTTGAAGATGTCAAATGCACTATTAAATCCCATCGACGACTGTAGACTGACAACGATTACATAGAAATAATGACATCTTGCCAAGTAAAAAATAAATTTGTTGTAAACCCTCTAAGATCAGAAGAAATGGTTTCAGTTAGTCTTTTGCTACAATCCATAAAAAATCTCAAAACAGATATAAATAAAGATGTTATTAATTGGCTAAAAACACATGTAGTACATATTACAAAGGAAAGTCCTACAGTTTTGTATATAAAAAAAAGTGAGATCAACAATTTTTGGAGGAAAATATTGAAAATTCTGGTAATGGTCGAAAACCTGTTTTTAAAAGAATGTAGAGTTGCCTCCCTTGTGGCCAAATGGCAAACCACTGTCCACTGGAAAAATAAAGGACCTTAAGGATTTATCTAAGTAAATTCCCAAGATGCTATGCCTTTTTATGGATTTTTGAACAACATCAGCTATGAAGGTTTTAAAGATTTGTAAGGAATTGGGTTAAATCGTGATTTAGAAATTGATATGTTAGATGGAGCTAGACATGTTTAGACAGAATTAAAGTACCTAAAAAAAGTTTCCATAAATCACAAGGTTATTTGCTACTACATGGCATATCTTTTGGGCTGAACTAGCGGATGAAACTGTCATAGTTACTGGTAATAATGAAGTTGATATGAACTAGGTGAGTTTTTTAGGTGATTTGTAATAATATAATATACCAAAATTTGCAGAAAATAAGAAGACAATAGATAATCTTTTAGCCATAAATATCTAGTGACAGGAATGTGTATGTGTATTTTTGTAGCCGCAGAGATCTAGTCACAGGAATATGTAGGCATGTGTATTTTTACTACAGTAATTGTCTACTATTAAACTGGCTGAACAATAAACATGGTGTACAACCTTTTTCTTGAATTAAATTTTTCCTGATTCAGTTTTATGAGGGATTAGTATATGGAATCTTGATAACTTGAAATTTTTAAAAATGTATCCAGAACAGCATGAAATAAGCAGACTATTACCAAAGACGTATATTGGTCTATATTCTTTGCTTATATAACTATTTCTATATAACTAGAGAAAATCAAAATAACACATACCCATTTGATTTTACAGGTTTTAACCGAAATATTTTCTTATCAACTTCTCTTAGCATTTCTTCTGTAAGCTCCATGTTATTTATACGTATAAATATATTAAATAATCCTCGGTAGTTTATCTAATGAAGTATTTATATTTTGTTTGTTTTGATTACCACACGTTCTCATGGCAACAACAGATGACAGCTGTCACCTCTCTTTCCGTGTCTTATTAACTATGGCATACAGCCACTGGCAATTAAGTAGGGTAAAAGGGGTAGTGATTGGCCCTTTAACTAATTGAAACCAGTAAAATAACTGTATGTTTAATTTTTTTTTCAGTTATAGGTAAGAAATTTATTGAGAACCTTCAAAGATGTTTATATTTTTAAAATATCAGGACCTTGAAATTAAAAGAAACACACTTAGGTATTCGTCTAATTTTTTTATTAACCAAAGTTAACTGGTCAGCTATTGGCCCTCATATTGCATTGATTGGCCAATAAAAAGTCAAAGATTGGCCTCATGTTTATATCGGTATTTAAATCATTTAAATGCCTACTTCCAAAGTAATAAAAAATGTATGTGGTTGGTTCATCGAGCAATAAGACAAAAGAGGGAATGTAAAGGTAGAAGGGGTAAACATATTGATAGACAGGAAGTGCCATCTTGAGAGGCCACTTTAGACAAGGATAGAGAGTCTCTCTCCTTGTTTGACATCAAATTTAGTTGGGTTATGTTATTGTTTGTCCCAAATGTCACATGAAATCTTATTTATATTGAAGTTTTTTAACAATTGTGTCGCATTTTAGACTCTTATCATTAATAATTAATTAAAACTTTCTCGTCTAAGACACATTTGAAAAATATTATATAGCTACTGTTGATAAGTGTCGAAAAATTTAAATTTGGCGCCTTTGCATTTCCGGATGTGTCCGCCATCAGAGGCCACTTTTTGGTCTCCTTTTTATAACGATTAGATTCCCTCTTTTGTCTTATTGCTCGATGGGTTGGTTTCATGAAAGTAATTGACATTGGAAAATTAAATTCAAAAATAAATGAAACCAACAGTTCAAATAATGATATATTTGATTTTCTACTTTATTTAAAATATTACAAATAATATAATGATACTGCAGCAAATAAAAATACACCTAGGCAACTTTTTTTAAACAGGTTGAACAATGAAAGATATGGGAATTAGATTTGTGGATACAGTGCTTTTTCTTACATTTAACATGATACGATCGTTCACATGTATTGCATTTTAAGCCATAATTAGAATATGTTATCCCATTGACACACGAGTAGCACAAACCATTTTCACTCTTTCTGTTTTTGTTTAGATCTAGCCCTATACTTGAAAGAATATCTGCTAAATTTTCGTCTTGATTTGATGGCATTAGAATATATTCAGACACAATGTTGACATTTCGTTCTTGAAACAAATTTCTTGAAGCTCGTTCTACTTTTTCTGCAAAGAATTTATTGGTACTAGTTTCTGGAGCGTTTTCATTTTCTATTGGTTTTTTAGTATTTTGAGTTTCCAAAATTTTATTGTTAGTATCTTTTACTTTTTTTTTCGGTTGTCGTTTTTTAAGCAATGGTTTTATATTTTTGGCTTTTTCTAGCTTTTTCTTTTTCTTTTCTAACTCTTGCTGAGCCTTCTCTTCCTGTTTTTGCTTTCTTTTTTCTAACCTGTTCTTTTTCTCCAGTTCCTTCTTAATTTTGTCTTCCTCCTCTTCTTTCTTTTGATTTCTCCATACAGTTCCAGTTATTACAAAAGACGTTTTTTTACTATTTCTTTTTCCTTTCCTCCTTGGTGTTTGGGGTAACGTTAGGTGCTCGTTAATGCTAGCATTTAAATTTGTGTCTGAGTTGGCAGGTTCAATGTTATCGAACGGTATTTCTTCCAGAATAATACTTTCGTTGTTCGGAAAGCCGGTGAATATAATTGGCATACTGTTCACATTAAATAAAATTTCTTGATCTGAATGCAAATGTTGGTTATTTTGAACAACAGGCAATATGTTCGTTTCAATAAATTCGTTTGATTCCATAATAATGTTTTCATTAATTTCTTTTCTTACTTCATTACAATCCTGAACAGTTTGGTTATTTTGAACAACGGGCAATATGTTCGTTTCAATAAATTCATTTGATTCCATCATAATGTTTTCATTAATTTCTTTTCTTACTTCATTGCAATTCTGAACAGTTTGGTTATTTTGAAAAACAGGCAATATATTCGTTTCAATAAATTCATTTGATTGCATTATAATGTTTTCGTTAATTTCTTTTCTTACTTCATTGTAATCGTAAACTTTTTGTTCTAAGTTTTCGACAACCTCGGTATTCAACATTGAATTCTGTGCAATATTATCACCTTTTGTTTTGTTGAACTCCTTCCAAATATCATTTCTGATATCAGTATTGATATTCTTAATATGCATTCCGAGAATATTCTTTAATGCTTTATACGTAATTGTGGTAGTATCATCTGGTTCTTCAACATCCTCCAAAGGCAAAGTTTTGATTTCTTGGCCTCGTAAGCACTTCGAAAAGTCTATTGAATCTGGGTTGAAAGGATATAACCCAGTGGCTTTGAATCCATTTTGGATAGTCACAGTTTTAGCATAATCGACAATCACAGACTTTAGTATAGGTGCAAACTTATGTTTTGTCAATGAATCTGCAAGATTTTCTCTTCTCCAAGCAAGGACAGCTTTTTTCCATCCTGTTTTAATGGGCTTAAATGCAGCTACATCAGCTGGCTGGAGTATACGTGTGGCATTGGGATACAAACAAATTAGTATAATATCCAATTTTTTGCATAACTCACTGACGTCGAATGTAACATGCGTACTATGTCCATCTATATATAATATAATTGGTAATTTAATCTTCTTTTCCAGTAAATAAGGATGAAAAACATCTCTAATGTAATCATTGAAAATCTCTGATTTCATCCAACCAGTAGGAGATGTTGCTACACCCCACTCTTTTGGTATGGATTCATAAACTTGTGACTTAAGTCTTTTGCCTGCAAATATTATTAGAGGAGGAGTAACCACACCATCAGCAGAAAAAGTAAACAACACAGTAATATTTTGTTTGGAAGAGGCGTGCTCAACCTCGTAAACGTTCTTCGAACCCTTTGGAGCTAAAACCGTAGACGTTTTAGGACAGAGATTGAAACAAGTCTCGTCCGCATTGAATATTCTTGATGGATCGGTAAGAATATGGTTATAATCCTTTGAAGTGAGATAAGAATAAATATCTGAAAACCATTTTCGGATATCCTTCTCTGCAATAGTGGAACTTGCCGATGTAACAGGTTCTGAAGTTCGTTCAGCTAAAACTGGGTGACGTCTTAAAAATGATTTATACCAATCCTCTCCTGGGCAGTTGTCCTTAAACGGAGTTTTTCTAGGGATTTTGTCAAGGAATGCTTTAACAGATAATTGGATGTCTTCTTTACGCCTGGGAAACCCTTTTTTTGAACTATTTATAGCCCAATTTACTAGAGCCACTTCCTCTTCATTAGTGAGATAAGGATTTGGACCTAAACTAGTTTTTTTTAATTTTAAACTTCGTCTAAATTGTAGTGTGGCCCTGGGTACTTTATATTTTTTACCAACTTCTCGAAGTGCTACTCTAGCTGCTATTTCTTTTAAAGCCTTTTGAATATCCTCCTCGGAATATTTTTTTGAATAACTAGTGCCCTCTTTAACTTTCGGCATCTTGCAGAAAATCTGAAAATAATGTAACGGTCAGTGATTGGCCTTTGTATATTGTAGTTATTGGCCACCGGCCAACGACTCACATAGCATGTTTAATAGTATTAATAACGTCTCTGTTAAGATACTGTGATTATTTAATATTGATTTCACATAAACAAAACATATTTTACGTCGGAGGTATTTTTGGTAGTAAATGGCCACATGGCCAATAACTAGAATTTTACCAAAATATTTTGTAGTGATTGGCCACGCAATAAATACAGTATTTTAGAGGTTAGAGTGTTAAAAAACTGTTTCATTTGGTTCCCCAATACTTATTTTCAGTAAACAAATGATTGAAACAACAGCTCAGCTAAAAAATATCATAGTGTACTCACATTTACAGCTTCCAGTTACTAACTTATCACAAAGATTTTCACTCGTTCGGCAGACACAGTATCAACGCCACAAACAATTTCCCGCTATTTTAAAGCCACGTTGCCAAATTTTTAACGGTTTGCTGTAACGAAATAAAAAGGGTTGCCATATTTTAACGATTTTATGGGAGATGCTTCCAATTGTTTTGATTTCTTAATAAAACGGTTTGAATGAGAAGTGGCCAATAAATCCCTAGAGGCCAATCACTCCCCCTGTTACCCTATCCCATTTTATGATTTTTAACATTAAAAATCTTTCCAATTAAGTAAAAACTTCTAGTGTAATTGCTCTATGTTTAAAAATATATGTAACGAATATTTATTATTTGTATAAAATGTATTTTAATGTAACAAAATGTTCCGTTCAAGATAAACCAACGTTATATTTTGCCGTTGGCCGTTCTATCTAGGACTATCTGTGTATATGGCCGATTTTTATTTTTTTTTCCTTTATTTCCTTCTTTTCTAGGCGGGGCTTTGGGGAAAGGTCTGACTGCTTCCAGTGTAAACTCCTCAGCTGAAAAAACACGTGAAGTTGACGCTGTAGGAATATTATTTAATTCATTGCTGGTTTCATCCGGCCTTGACAGAAAAAAGATATCGCTGGTTCGGGTTCTTTATTTTGTTGATTTCTCTGGTTATCTTTTGTAGGTTCATTGTCTCTTTTTCCTGATTCTGTCGTGTTAATTTCAACATCGTTGGTCACTTTATTTGCTGGTGGAGACCGATCTGTGACATAAGACGGTGCATAATCTAAAGGTGTAAATATATTCCTATTAAAACGAAATATTCCCGTGCATCTAAAGCCTGCTTGGATGTTTCTGGATGTCAGTGCCATCGGAGTGCTATAGCTACTATGGATGGGATATTATAAATGGTCATAGTTTTTCCTTGATTGCTTCGCATCCATGAATCGCAGCCCACATTAATTGCTTTTTTTAATGGCGCATATACAGAGCGATCCAACGGTTGTAACTTTCGTGAGGCGGGAAAAATAACACAACAATACCGTTGT